CACCACATGCTTGAAGAGTAGCTTAGTGGTGTTCTCGGTCGTCACATCCGCCGGGGCTGGTATGAAAGTGGCATACTTGGAGAACTTATCCACAACCACGATAATGCTTTCAAAGTTCTCCGATTTCGGCAAAGCCACTATGTAATCCATGGTGATTGTCTTCCATGGTCTCTCCGCGATAGGCAAAGGTTGCAATAGACCTCCGGGTGCTCGATTTTCAACTTTGTCTTGCTGGCACACCAAACATGTCCTCATATAGGACTCCACATCATCGCGCAACCGTGGCCAAAAGTATGACCCCTCCAGTGAGGCTCTAGTGCGTTGTTGTCCTGGATGTCCGGCCCACATCGAGTCATGGCATTCCTTCATCAAATCTCGTCGGAGGTTTCCCCATTTAGGTACATAAATCCTCCTTCCCTTCATGTAGAGAATGCCATTCTCCTCCCAAAATTTTCGAGTCTCGCCCTCCTTTGTAAGGCTCAACAAGCTCTTGGCAATGGGATCATGCTCCACTCCTTCCTTGATTCGGCCACGATCTCCTCATCGACCTTCGATATGTGATGCAACTCGGCCTTTCTACTAAGTGCATCGCCCACCACATTGGTCTTGCTCGGCTTGTACTCAAAGATATAATCAAATTCGGCAAGAAAGTCTTGCCATCGAGCTTGCTTCGGCGTCAACTTCTTTTGAGTTTGAAAGTAGCTAGTGGCTACGTTGTCCGTCTTCACCACAAATCGAGACCCGAGCAAGTAGTGTCTCCAAGTGCGCAAGCAATGCACCACTTGCGGTCATCTCCTTCTCTTGCACCGAATATCGTCGTTCGGTGTCATTTAGCTTTCGGCTCTCGTAAGCTATAGGATGTTGTTCTCGTATCAATACATCACCTATAGCAAAATCGAAGCATCGGTGTGTACCTCATAAGGCTTGGTTGGGTCGACCAAGCTCAACACCGGCTCCTCGATAACGAGCTTGCTTTAACTCTTTGAAAGCCTTTTGGCATTGGTCACTCCACTCCCATCTCTTGTTTTTCTTCGATAAGTCGGTGAGAGGGGCCGCCTTCTTCGAGTAGTCATGGATGAAACGTCGATAGTAATTGACTAATCCAAGAAAAGAGCGAAGCTCGGGTACCTTGGTTGGCTCTTTCCATTTCGAGATAGCTTTGACTTTGGCTTCATCCATCATCAACCTTCCCCCTTAATCTTATGTCCTAGGAAGAGTACTTCCTCTTTTGCAAAGGACCACTTCTCCCTTTTGACATACAACTCATTTTTCCTTAGTACCTTGAATACGGTACGTAGGTGGTCTAGATGCTCCTCTAATGTAGAGCTATAAACCACGATATCATCAAGATATACCACTACGAGCCGATCCAAGTATGGTTGAAATACCTTATTCATTAAGGTGCGAGAAGGTAGCGGGGCGTTAGTCAAGCCAAATGGCATAACAAGGAATTCATAGGAACCATACCTTGTCACGCATGCTTGTCTTTGGCACATCTTCGGTGGCAATTCGAACTTGATAATACCCCGATCTCAAATCAAGCTTGGTGTAGAACCGAGCTTTTCCCAACCGATCAAACAAGTCCGCTATCAATGGGATTGGATACTTGTTTTTCACCGTGACCTTGTTTAATGCCCGATAGTCCACGCACATTCTCGACGACCCATCGTGCTTCTTTTGGAACAACACGGGCGAGCCATAAGGTGACTTGGAGGGTTGTATTTATCCGGCCTCTAACATGGCCTTCAACTCGCTTCCTTAATTCCTCCAACTCGGGCGGGGCCATTCGATAAGGTGCCATGGTCGGCGGTTTGGCACCCAACACCAATTCTATTTGGTGATCGATTTCTCTTTTAGGTGGTAACTTTTTGGGTAACTACGGTGGCATCACATCATCAAATTCGGCCAATACATTGGCAATCTCCTCGGGTATCTCCATGCTCTCATCTTCCACCATCCCATCTTCTCTTAAAGTTGCCAAGTATGTGACTTCTCCTCTCTTGAAGCCTTTCTTTACTTGCATAGCCGATAGATGCTTCAAGTCCGATCTAGCGTGCACCTTGGTCGGCACCATGCATGGTATTTCTTCTTTCATGATCACCATTTGCTCCAAGTGAGGTGTAGGCACTGCTTTCGCTTGTTTAAAGAACTCCATGCCTAGCACAACCTTGAAGTCGTCCATTGTGATAATGGTGAAATCTAGCGTCCCTTTCCATGCATCTATACCAAGCTTTACCCCATACGCTATGCCATAAGTAGGCTTAGGAGAAGCATTCACGGTCTTCATGCTACTTGATGACTTGGTCACCACCAAGCCAAGTCTTTTAGCCTCCTCCTCGGCCATGAAATTATGTGTGGCTCCCGTGTCTAGCATGGCAAACGTGGCCTTACCATTCACGTCCACATCCACGTACATAAGCCCATCCTTTGGTGGCACCTTAGGTGAGGACTTAACATTACGGGCATTGAGAAGCTGAACCGATCCCAAATGCTTCTCATGCTCGAGAGCACTCTCCTTTTCCTCCATCAAGGCATTGAGGGCTTGTCGCTTCGGGCACTCTCTCCACTCGATGTGGCCCATTGCAAAAGTAGCGACCACTTGGGCTTGAATTCTCTCTTATCATGTTCTTTAACAAAGCTCTTGGACTTATGTGCTTTGTCTTGCCCATCTCTATACCCCTTCCTTTCATAGGCTCCCCCACCTTTGCCCTCGAAGTCTTTCTTAGGCTTGGAGGGTTACTGCCCTTTTGTTATATTCAATTAAGGATTCGGCTATGGCCACGGCTTCGGCGAAGGTCTTAGGTCGTCGACCTCGCACCACTTGTTGTGCCCATGATTGAAGTCCCTTAATAAAATCATACATATGATCATAGTCGGGTTTGCCACGTACACGAAGTTTAAGAGAAAGATATTCTCGAACATACTCGTGAATAGTTCCCGTATGCTTCAATGTTCGTAGCTTGTCCCGTGCTTCCCAATCCGCTTCCTTGGGGTAGAATTGAGCATACATGGCTTCTTTGAATTCATCCCAACTAGACGGCTCTAGATTCCCCTCTTTGAGCTCTTGGTGCTTCATACGCCACCATAAAGCGGCGTCCTTCGAAAGATAGAGGGTAGCGGTCTCGACACGACTTCTATCCTCGGTCAAGCCCATTGCCTCGAAATATTGCTCTACTTGCCAAAAGAAGTTGTCCACCTCCTTGGCATCTCGTTTGCCGATATAGTGCCTTGGTCGTGGCACTTCAACTTTTGGCGTGTCCCTTAAGACCACACCATTCGAGATAGCCTCTCGACAATTTGTCCAATCTTTTCTAAGTTGTTCAAGAGTTTGCTCATACCCGGTCATATACTCTTGATGTTGCTTAAAGCTCTCCTTCGTCCATTCCATGAAGGCATCCTTTTCGGCAGCGCTCTCCTCGGCACACCTCTCAGCCGTTTCCACTCGAGCTTGGAGATTGGAGAGCACCTCACATGGGCCTACCATGCCTAATGTCTCCCCTCATCATCTCCTTCTAGCTCCTCGAGTCTCTCCTTGAAATCGACAAGGTGTTCCTCCGCCCTCATGAGTCGCTCCTCCAAGGAGACTAATACGTCACGAGACTTCCCCTTCCTTTCTTAGGTTGAGGAGGTAGAGTCTCATTCCTAGCATCCCCAGCAACATCCTTCATGCCCAAGCTAGACATTCTTACTCTCTTGAACACTTTAGCTAGCGGCAAGCTTACTCGCACTTTAATAAAACTCGGCTCGATACCACTTGTCACGGACTTGGCCTTTCCCAAGCTCACGTGCGGCACTTGGCTCTTTTCTTCTCTAAGACAAACCAAGTCGGCCTTCCTCACACAAAGTTGCTAAGCAAGAAAGACACACACAAGAGATATAAAATACTCTTTGTATTGCTTTCTAAAAGCTTACAACTCTAAAGACACACTCTCTTAAGTTTATGAATGTCTAGGTGTCTTGGCCAAGTGAAGGCCTCACCTATTTATAGCCTTCCACCTCCTCGATGGATGGCTAGGATCTATTTAATCTAATGGCCACAATTAGTTCTCTAGAAATATCCTACCTAGATATTTACATGGAACTATCTAGATATTCACATGTTAGATTAGTGAGGGACTCTCTAGAATTCTCTAGATCATCCTAGAGACTTCTCCAATGCTCCATATTCTTCAGAAGCTTCCGGACTTATCTAGAGGCTTCTCCATTGTTCCATGCTCTTCCGAAGCTTCCGGACTTATCTAGAGGCTTCTCCATTGTTCCATACTCTTCCGAAGCTTCCGGACTTGTCTTGTGTTCTCTAGAATTTCTAGAAAAATCCCTCTTTTAGGCGGAGCGTAACAATGGCCTGTATTTGCAGTATGGACAACTCTTAATGTGTAAGTTTTCTTAGAATTCTAATTTAATAAGAGCACATTATTCATAAACGTGGCGTTTCTTACAGGTCACATCTTCATTTTAAATGTGGGTAATGCTGTAAAAGTTTGTTGCACAAATAAATTCTTACATTACATAAATGATTATAACTAACAAAAGATAAAAGACCCAAATCCATGAGATGTAAAATTTTTATAAATTCTTTAATTCTGACACACACATATATATATATATGAAAAAGGTTCAAATTGGCTTGACCATTGACTGAAGAATGTTTGCTATTTAATTGATCAAATTTTAGGAAATCAATTGTTTAAAATGAATCAAGGGTATCGTTATAAAAAATCAATACCACGAGAATCTCTACTATCATTAAACCACATAAAATGCTCATATAAAATATTAATTTTGTTTCTACATCTCAACATAGATAGATTATATATGATAAAAACGGGTAAAAATCAGTCACAATAAAGGAAAAACAAAAATGAAAACAATTGATGGCAATTATTCCTTTTAAATTGGAAACCAGATAGTGATTTATTCTACATCCGCACCCTGCAGCTCACAGTTTTAGCACATGTACCACGGCTTGATTTTATTCAGTTTCCAACCTTAGATCTTACTCCGTATGGAGTGGTTGGCTCCAAGTTTTTCAACTTCATCGTCTAAAGTTTGAAGCCCATTGCTGAAAAACGATGCAAAAGCATCCATTATAGGCTTGGGATATGATAAGAAAATTTCAGTGTCCCCTTCATTTCGGCCATCACTTATTAAAACTGCTTTAAATTCATCTGCACAAATATCTTCATTCATTTTAGGTCTTCCCCACCCAAAATCAAAACCGTACATGTTAAACTTAGGTGATGAAAAACTTTCAAAAACCCCAGCTTTATATGCTGCGTTCATCTCTGGCATCCAGTTCTCAGCTCCTTTCAGTACTCCTTCTGCATCATGCAAGCTTTTATGAATTGAGTCTCTTATGATTTTAGCTGCAATGACAAAACCGTCATTTCCCTTCAACTGGGACATCTTAACCCTAGCTAGGGCAGGCGCATAATTTGCAGGCAAAGGCGGGTCCAGTCGAGTTCTACAATCTACTTCATTGAGGAAATATACTATTTCTTCATCATCTTCAGCTGCCTTATCTTCACCAATTGCTGCTCTTGCCTTTGCCATGCAAGACCATACATAGGCACATATAACAGTGACGGTTGTTACACGTGATAGAGAGGGGTATCGGGCTAGCACTAGTTTCTTTAGCTGTTGAACGGTGGCTTGACTGATTACAAATGTGGCTCGAACCTTGTTGGTAGGCAATGGTGCTTGTGATCCATCATATTTTGTTTTCTTGAGATAATTCCACAGAACGGTCTCGACTTCAAGCCCTTTAGGGTCCCTGAGCCGAGTCCGATCGTAACATGGCTCAAATTCACCACCGAAGCATGCTGCATCTCCTCCTCCTTTCGTGATTGAAGACCACATTCTCATGAACAAGGCGGCGGCGGTGCCATCAGCTACCACATGGTGGATATTGACTCCCACACAAACGCCTGAATTTGGAAAGAGTGTTACTTGAAAAGCCGCAATTGGAAGGATTAGTGTGTCATGTGACATGGACGCTGGTGGAAGTTGAGGCAAAAGGGAGTGAAATTCTATCGCATTTATCTTTTTCTTCTTCGTTAGATGATTAAAATCACTGCCAGACTCTGCAAAGGTCAAGGAGACTGAATCACCTTCTAAATAACGGATTTGAGGCTTACCAGGATTTGGAGGTAATATCAAGTTTCCAGCGAAAGGATAGAGGTATTTGAGGGTGAGGGATAATGAATGTTTAATGCTTGGAATGATGTACTGGATAAAATTATTCTTGGAAACCTTTGTGCATTCATAGAAGAAGAGATTTTTCATTGAAGGGCAGGGAACCAAACGAAAATCAAAAAAGGTGAGAGGAAGTGTGTTCTTAGAGATAGTAGCAGGTGGTGGAGAAACTTGACAACTTTCAAGGACAGTGACCATGTTATGGGAAACCATATTGGGATATGAAACAAGTGTTTGTTTTGGTTAGAGAGAGAATATGCAACAACAGATTTTTTAATATGTTTCTTGACATACCTGTAAGTCTATACAGAAGTCAGCACAAGTTGCCTGCGATTTTATTTATTTATTTATCGTTATTTTCTTTTATTTTGAGAATCATTACCCGGAAGAAAGGGTGCAATAATGATATTTTTTTCTCCAAAAGAGATTTTCCTTTTTACTTTTTTATATAAGATAAGAAAATTATTAATTATTATGCTATTTCATAATATTTTATTTATACTTAAAATATTTTTTTAATAATTGAATTTGAATAACTTTTTTACAAAATGAACTTTAATGAAAAATATTTTTAAAAAATTATATTACTTAAATTTTTTACCAAATAAGTATTTTGGGACAATTTTTGTAACATAAAGAATAATATTTTAGTATTATTGTGGGGATCATGACTAACGTAATTAAAGCACTTTGTACAATAACGTTGGTTGTCCTTTTTGACCATATGATGCTGTTTTCATTTGTTGTAGCTGACAGAGATGTAGTCTCGTTTTTTGTTTTTTTTTTTTTTTTTTTTTTTTTTTTTTAAGTGATGCGGACTTCAGTTCCTTTTTTCGCCAACTTATTATTCAATATGTCCTTTTATGCCATTTGGTGATAAGTTACTAGTTAAGTTATGTTAAGACATCATCTCACCTAAAAAGTTAAATTGATGTAGAATATAATTTATATTAATTTTAACACATCCCTTCAAGTAAAAGCTAACACATCCTCTCAAGTAAAAGCTTCAATATTTGAGCTTGAAACTTACACGAGTTCACATTATCTTGTGCTTAATACTTAAGAAATTAGGAATGGTGAGATTTTAACTCGGGACTACATGGTCAACCTAGCTCCGATACTATGTTAAAAGACTATCTCACCTAAAAGCTTAAGTCGATAGATGATGCTCTAGAATATAATTTATATTAATTTCTAATAATTTCCCATGCTATGTCGTGGGGTGAATTAAATATAATTATTTCAATTTAATAATATGTATTATATTGTCGATCAATAAAAATATATTAAATCAAAGATAAAATTTCATCTAATTTTAAAATTTTTAATAAAAAAATTTGCATCTATTTTTTTGCTAATTTTTTTAAAAAAATTTATAATTAAAAAACACGATTTATTCTTTTTTATACATTTATTCTTAAATAAAAATTCATTATAATCTAAATATAATTTTTATTAAAAAATATTTTAATATTTTTTTCATAACATTGTATCGAAGAGATAAAGTAACATTGTAACTCGTACAAAAATTAACAAATATTTTTTTCATTCTTGTTTAATACCGATGAGAAGAATTTTTTTTGAAGAATGTATATTAGATATATATATATTTATTTAAAAAATAAAGAATAATATTAGTATAAAAAATACATTTGAATTATTATGCGGTTCATCTAAAACATTATTTTAATTATTTTATTTTAAAAAAATTTAAAAATATAAAAATAATAGCACTAGTTGGTGTTATGAGTGCAGATGCATAATTAATTTTAAATAAAATTAATAACTCTACTATATACATTTTTATATATCATGACCCTATTCATTAGGTTAATGTGTGCAATCTGAAATCGAATTTAAAAAAAATTATAAAAAAATATATTGAATTTAGTAGGGGGCAATAAAAAAGGAACAACAAAATAGATTTCAATAAAAAATAATTATATAAAGAATAAGTAAATAAAACACGTGAATTTTATTTTTAAAATTCGATTATATAAAATAAGCAAATAAAAAATAACCAAAAAAAACTTATTCAAAAATCCATACATAAGAGAAAATAAATCATATTTATTAAGAAATAAAATTACATAAAAAAGAATAAAAAATTAATCTAATGAGAATTTTTATAAGAAATGGCAAATTGAAGATTTTAATTTTAAATAATAAGAGTAATATAATCCGATATATATATATATATATTCTAAAATCTAAAAACATGTCATATATATTTCATAGCCGTCAACTTGTGTGAATAATAATTAGTTTTTCATAATTTTCCCACCCAATTCAAAATTAAAACAAATATAAATTGGTGGAAAATACCAAAGAAAAACAAAAAATAAAAAGAAGAGAAAAAAATAATTTCAATTGATTTTTCATAAATTTCAAACCTAATTCAATAATAAAAAAAACATAAATTTGTGGGAAAGAATAAAGAAAAAAATCAAGGAAAAAAGAAGAGGAGCGAGCACTGTGTGCCTACCTTATGCCTTCTTAAGGCCCGATGCAATAGGCCAATCGATGAAACGACCTAGGAGATTAAAATTTGATTTGAAAATTTCAAGAGCCAAAATGAAATATGGTGTAAACTTTGAATATCAATATTCAAAAATAGCTGAAAGTCAAAAAAATACCACCCTCATCTACGATCTATGAACAAGTGACTTGTGAAAGGATGAACAGTTAAAATCAATGTTCGACCCCCTAACATCTTATAGTTTCTTTTAATGCATCTAAAAATAAGCAAATAACTATAAATAATTTTGATTCAAAAATCAAGACATAAGAGAAAATAAATCGTATTTATTAAGAAATAAAATTATATAAAAAAGAAGAATAAAAAATTAATCGATGAAAATTTTTATAAGAAATTACAAATTGAAGAAACTGATTTTAAATAATAAGAGTAACATAATCCGATATATAGTTATTCTAAAATATAAAAAAATATATCATATATATTTCATAACTCGTCAAGTTGTGTGAAAAAAAATAATTAGTTTTTTATAATTTTCACACCCAATTCAATAATTAAAAAAAGGGTGGAAAAAACCAAATAAAAAAATAAAAGAAGAGAAAAAAATGGTAATTGATTTTTCATAATTTTCAAGCCTAATTCAATGATGAAAAAATAAAAATTGGTGGGAAAAAACAAAGAAAAAAAAAGAGGAGTAGGCTCGGTAGCCTACTTAAGGCCCAATGCGACAAGCCAACTGCTAAAACAACCTAGGGGATTAAAATTTGATTTAAAAACTTTAAGAACTAAAATGAAATATGATGTAAACTTCAAATATAAATGTCCAAAAATAGCTAAAAAAATACAAAAATATCACCCTCTTCTACGAGTTTATGAATAGTGACTTGTGAAAGGATGAACGGTAAAAATAACTCATCAAAACACCTAACTCTTTTAGTTTCTTTTAATTACTCAACATGCCTTTTTTTTTTTTTTGTCACTTAGTATTGCTCAACATGTCTATTTTTGCTTGGTTTTGCTATCAAATAATTATTTTGTAGATTCGATTTGTTGAAACCCTTTTTTTCATTCAAGTGTATAAAGTTAGATAGATGAGTTTTGTGGGTTCTACTCGAACCCTCAAGTATATAGAGTTAAATAATTGAAATTTCATTCTATTAAAAAACCTTAAACCTTATGATGGACGATCTTTTTTTAACTTTATATATTACTTATTTTTATTTATCTATTCAATATGATGAAGGATCGTGCATCCTATGAAGGTGCAGAATAAACAAAAATTTTCCTCCATCTAGGGTTCTTATGATCATGCATTTGAACCAACTAATCATATATAAACATGAATATAAATATTGTGAGTGATTACCTTTTGTAACGTAGAAATAATTCAAGTAGAAAGATAATCATTTAAGTATCTAGCCTTTATTGATTATCCACGCAACTCAAACACCCACACAAGAAGTAATAAAAATCCTAGAGTGCTAGCTCCAATCCTTTTATGTTGTTTATTTTCTCTAGAAATCCTATAGGGTAATTTTCCAACTTTTGGATTTTTAGAGAGAAATGCAACAACTTTTGTTTTTAAGGGAGAAAAATGTTTTTTTTTTTTAAAGTGTGTGCTTTCTTTCTCTTGCACACTTATTTCCACCTCTCTCATCCCTCTTATATATAGAAGGTGACAACTTCTTTTTGTAGGTTAAGGAGATGTTGTATGTGTGAGCTTTGTCTAGCCTTATCCTTATAAACCTTAAGCCTTATTCAATAAGGCTCAAGTTTATATCTCCATCAAAATATCTTATAGGCTTTTAAAATAAACCAATTGGTCCAAAATCTTTTGACCTAATTTATTACCGATTAATTTGGACCATCTAAATAAATTAGATCACATATTTTTAGGAAGTTCACATTAGGAAATAACTTGCTAAATTACCCTTAAACCAAAATTAGGAAACTAATTTTCTTTTTAGGTAACTTTCTTTTAAATTTGAAACTGAATTCCAAGTTAAAAATTGATTCCTAAAATATGAAAATTTTTATTTTACGAAACGTTTCCAAAACATGAAACTTTCCAAAATAAGAAACTTTTTCCAATAGCCTTTGATTTTCTTTTATCATGTGAATGTTTAAACTTATGCTCGTGACTCAATAGGCTCCTAGATATGTTGGCAATATATCAAGAAGATAAAACACACCTTTTTTATCTCTTGATATATAAATCAAGATTGGCATCTAACAAGGCATCATGACTATCCAAGTCTCTAGGAGAATTAATTAATATACAATTACTTTTCACGAGACCATCTAAATAAATTGGGTCGGGTATTTTTAGGAGGCCCACATTAGGAAATAATTTTCTAAATTATCCTTAAACCTAAATTAGAAAACTAATTTTCTTTTAGGTAACTATCTTTCAAATTTAGAACTCGACTTCCAAATTAGAAATTGATTCCTAAAATAGGAAACTTTTCCTTTGAGAAATTTTTTTCCTAAACATGAAACTTTCCAAAATAAGAAACTTTTTCCAATAACGTTTGCTTCTCTTTTATCATATGAATGTTTAAACTTATGCTTGTAACTTAATAGGCTCCTAGATATGTTGACAATATATCAAGAAGATAAAAGACACCTTTTTTATCTTTTAATACATAAATCAAGATTAGTCTCTAGCAAGGTATAATGACTATCCAATTCTCTAAGAGAATTAATTAATTTACAATTA